GAGCCACGGAACAACAGCTGAAGCAATTCGAGGCTTCTTTCGTTTTAAGTTGACCCAATTGTGAAAAAAAGTCGCGGCATTCGGCGGGATTTGAACCCACATAGTAGAGAAGGCCTTTACGTGAAGCCAAAAGCTTTCCCAGTTGAGCTTCAAATGTCACGCTTCACACCGTGAGCTTCTTTCGTTGTCATCCATCGTGAGGATTTCGAGCTCGACGAGGTTTGGGGTATGGTTTCATCCTGTTGTGTGATTAGCAACGCCGCAATTTATGTCATTTATCACCAGTGTTCAAACGTGTTCGACCATCCGCGCCAATTTTATCAACGCTACAGGGATTCATAGCGTAGATCCTCAGAGGCCGAGGGTGAGGTATGGCTTGTTCATACTGGCAACTAAGCCAGAAATGATAATTTCAAATTTCCTCACCCTTTATCTACATTATTCACTGTAATTTGTTGGATGATCTCCTGAGAGGGTTCTGGCTTTCGCTTCTAAGAAAAAACCCAAAAAGCAGGGATCAGGATACCTAGTAGGGTCCACTACATGTAATATACGCTTACTTGAATCTACTCAGTAACCCAATTTACACCTTTTTCAATTAATTCGTCGCCAGAACTACTCAGTAGCTGGATTTCCTCATTTTTGCCATTCACTTGTCGCGCACAGTTGGCCTTCAGCCAGAAAGCCTTCCTGCTGACTGCTGCAGCAACATTTTCGTAGGTAGAGTTGCCAGCAATTTTCAATTTTTATCTTTTGCCAGCCGCAGCACCAATTTTCCATCTTCTTTGTCACGCGACAAAACACTTGAATTTTTAATTTGACTTTTTTTACCCCATGGGGAGGCTTAGTTGCTGACATTCAGGTCAAACCGTGTAGAAAAAAAAGCAGTTGAGGGAAGATGAGGCGCGAATTCTGGGCAGCTGTGACCAATCAATGAAGAGGGAAATATCGATCAACGTCATGGGGTCGCGAGGTGGAAATCGACTCACGCGCGTGGGTGGAGGTTGTCACACGCGATTACGCACGGCTTGGCACGCGAAGGCAACATGAGTCAACGACTGTGAGAACGAACAGCTGCAGACCCACGTTTTGAGGCATGATGTCGTGGGCGAGCAGGTTAAATAAATAATGCCCCTCTGACTATGATCTATATTATTCAGTAGTATCGCGGTCTAGGATGTGCGGTCTACTATAACCACTACACTAAGAGTATTCCATCTGGTTATGAGGGCAGGGTTTGGTGGAGCAGTCTAGGCGAGGGAGT